ACACACACACACACACACACACACACACACACAAACACACACAAACACACACACACACACACACACCTTCTTCGTTTCTTGCTCCAGACATTACTAGCTCCCTGTTGCACGCCCCCGTTTGCCTCTGCTGTCCCTGGCATTTTCTTTAACATGAGCAGCTGAGGAAAAGAGCAGCTCGGCTTTCCTTGAGAGCTGCCAAGCTGCATTTCCATGCTGTTCCATTTCCATTCTTGGATTTACAAAAGGGCCTAATTATGATCCAGGAAAAGATCAGAGGTAGAAGAGTTCTTGGTTTTTGTAGTATTATTTTTGCCTGCATAATCATGATCTTTGTGTTCATTGTTTGCATGTTGACTCGCATCTTTGCATTGTTTACAGGCACAAATGAACTGGTAGACATGATGGGAGATGAGGGTATAACCAATCAGATTTATATCTCACCTGAATCCTAATGCCACTGATGATTTTTTTGCTTTAATGTCACTTTTTATGAGTGCCATTACTACTGCTGCACCGAAGCACACCAATCCAAACAATCACAGAAAAACAAAAAAAGCCAGAAAATCCCCTTGCTTCTGTCTTTTTGGTTTGCGGATTCAATCTGTCATCCTAAAACAAAGCAGAGACGTCTGAAAACCCTCCTGCTCAATCATGAACTGAAGCACAAAGAGGGCTTTATTAATGGCCCTGAATCACAAGCCTTGCTCTCAGTTGCTTTAGTAAACTGGACCATTGTCTGTAGCACTTTTGCAGCCCGAGTGGGATTATTCACTGTGTTCATCTCATGTCACCCCAGTTTATTACAGATTCATCATGTTTTGTGTCTTTGTACTTCAAAATTTAGGACACAATTTCAATAAAATGTTTTATGATTCTGGGAACAGATTATAATGTAGTACTGTCCAGTGTTTTCCACTTATTTTTAAGGGTTATTCATTAGATGGGGGAGCTGCTCAACTCTCCCAGCTTTTGTTCTCTTTCATCTTTATTTTTATTTTGTCCTTTTCTTTGATCACTGTCTTCTTCTAGATGCTTTGGGCTAGAAACTTCATTCAAACTTTAAACCAGTCCAAAGACTTTAGACATTTTAGTCTTGGGGTCAGCTTTTTAAATATCTTTTTTACTTTTTGAGCGTTGGCTGTTGTCACTGTAAGGTGATTTTAGTCATCTTTCAGCTTGGTTGATATGTCTAACAATTGGTAGGATGATTTTATTCCTTATTTCCTCCTTCCTTTCATCCTTATTTCCTTTATTCCTCCCATTCTTCCCTCATACACTCATACTCTTTCCTCTGCCCCTTCTTACCTTTCTTTCATTCTTTACTTTTATATTCCTTTCTTTTAACTTTCCCTTCTTTGCTTTTTCCTTCCTTCTCTCACACCTTATTTTTTCTTTTAACTTTTCTCCCTTTTTTCTGCTTTTGCCTTCTTTTTCTTTAGAACTTTTTGTGTTTGGCTCCACTTTTATATCTTTAAATGCACTAACTTTTCAACAACTTCTCAGTGATCAGTGTGTTTTTCAGCAGCATATCAGCACTCCCAATGTAATTTCTTTAGAAATTCTTTTCTAGTTGTTAATGAAACCAGATGAAGGGTGTTTGCGTTCACTGATTGCTGTGGATATAAAAATGCAACATTAAGAAATATGACCTATAAAAACAGCTATAACAGAGTTTTGTTTACTTTGGCCATGTCTCTTTAAATCAAGTTCCTGCACTTCTTTCACTGCCACTTGGACTTCAAACAGAGGTGTCCTCTGCCCTGATCCTCTTTCAGCATGGGGTGAAGTGTAGCCTGCTGAAGGCTTTTGGATCTGTTTGCTCTTGGGATTCACTTGAAGATGTTTACAAATGGCACTGCAGGGAGCACAACAGAAAGAACAGAGATCTAAAGCAATGTTTTCAATGACACACTGAGCTTATGGGGATCATTTACTAATCTGCTGAATACTTAAGGAATTATGATCACTGAGAGATCTACATATACCAGACTAATCATGAAGAAAAACAACAATGAAGCCAAAATAATAAAACCGTATGTGGTGAGACAATGTTAAAGCCTGTTTTAAGGTTTAAAATGTGGTTGGAATGAACGTGGAACCTACGGCACACTTTTATATATAAATACA